ACAAAGCTTCTATTTTCTTTTAAATTGTTAACAAAATTATTATTAAGGTAATTTTTTTTTTCCTTATTTGTTTATTTGATGTATTTGCGCGCATTTTCTTTTCTCTTATTTTCCACTTCTTCCTCGTTTTTCTTCAGAGTAACAAGAGTCAGACGTGGTCGAAATTCTGTTTTCGATCGCGCATTTCACTTTTTAGTTTCAAACCGCAGCGTTCCACCTCTAGTAACATTGTTACTCGTCTCGTGCATCTCGCTTTTCGTCTCCCATCGCGCTTCCCATTACATCGCGCTGCGAGCCGATGTCCCGGGCCCGCTGAAATACGAAGCAGTGAAAACAAATGGCCCCGCGGAGATTAAAAATCACGCATCGTCGTACATTTTGTCTCGCGCGGCAACGTTATTTCGTATTTGCTCGAGATCGCGATACTCTCCCGCAGATACGTGAAACCATCTCAAACACATTTACATCGCGATGCGATCCCTTTTATACGTGTTCCCTATATACGCGATTGTCGTAAACCACTGTGTCGAGTCGGGTAGACCGCAAAGGGTTAACCTAATGCTACGAAACGCCGCTGGTTGACGCGGCGCTGAATGAATCAGTCCTTATGGTGAAATCAGCAAACGCGAACAATGGCACTTGGCGGTCTTGCGATGTTTCCGTAACTCGATCGCGCTGTTATTTCGAAATCTCAAATATCTGATAAAGAAGAGGTACGTTTAGCACATTTAGCGCATTTCTGCACACTAGAAGTGAGACGGTGTAAATTCGATGCGCCACGTAGACCGCGAACCAATTTTGCTAGGAGATCGAGATTGGTGAAACTCGGTTGGTTGATAATCTTATGAGCTTTCTTCTTTTCTTCCTCCATTGTTATGCCGCGCGACAATCGCGATCTAAATGACCCCTGGCTTTAAGGAGTGCTTGCGTTTCTCGACTAATTACTACCCTTGTTCAACGATAACTAGGTTGTTGTTAGCTTTGACACGTTTTCACAGGCGTGGCGGACTAATGATTTTCTTTTACGCTCGCTATTTACGATTTACATTGTAGCGAAGAATACGTCAGAGGTCAACTGTTAATCCTTTAACCGTCATCTCATTTCGCCTCTATCGCATTTTGGCCGGTGAATTTTATTTCCTTGATACGTGGCGCCTCTCGAAATGTCGAAATCGATGTCGTGCCGCCAAAGTGTTGACTTTTACCGAATAACGATTCTGATATATAATAGCTTTAACAAGAGTACTTACATCGCGTCGTACTGAAATGATTTCGGCTAGAGAAATAAGAACCGATAAATTATGGAGACATGGTAAGTTTCGCAGAACAGAACTTACGAAATATTCCGCACGGTACAAATTCACCATTCGTGTTTACAAATTTATCACCATTACCACGGAAATCTCTGCAAACAACGCCTCTGGCGTAATTAACGCCAGACATCATCGTAAAATTTGTTCTCGTCCGAAAACGCAGCATAATATTACGTAATATTAATCAAGGGCGGTCTAAACAAAATGT